AAAATGTTTTTTTTTTTTAGTAGAGAGTAGAGAAGTAAGAGGGAGAATGAGAGTGGGGAGGGGGCCGGCTGCTTTAGGCGGCTTTTTTTGTATTTTTATTTTTTTTATTACTAAGGGCAAAAAGGTATTTTTGGGAGGCGGTATTAATAAAATTGATGTGGTAAATAGCAATTAAGTATTGAATTCAATCTCATATATACAAGTTGCTCATCTAATATTCGTCCTGTTTGCGTATGGAAATCATAATCATCAAGGCCGAGCTCATTATCGTATCATCTAGGCTCTTTGAGTCCCCGGTTCTATATTCCCCATCCCTATGGGAAAGCTCACTTTATCCTAAAATCTAGCCAAAATATGATAAACTTGTTTTCCCTTTTCACACTAATGGGTTGAATGCATAAGTACAGTCGTAAATCCCATATTTGCTATGTACAAGTAGCCCGCAGATCCTCCACCCCTACGGCCACAACCAGCAGCCAGGGTCACAGCCACCACCCAACACCGCCACTACTCGCCTCCAACGCGAAACCAGAAGTCGAAGGCTCACAACCCCCGAACAGCGGCAAAACAAACACCGAAGACCGCCAGGGGCACCCACCACCTCCAACTCCGCCCGGGACCGACATTAGTGTTATCTATTGATATGTTTGAATACATTAGATTTACATATTCCTTAAATCTAATCACGAACTCTACGGGTGAAATATATACCTAAATGCTATATTAAACTATTATATATCAAACACATAAAATAAATAATGAAAATTAAATTAACATTCAAACTATTTTTATATTAATAATCAATCTTAGTTTATAGTTATACTCTTTACCATGGGCTAGTTAACATTTAACTAAGTTAAAATTTTGTTGATTTATTAAACTAAATTAATATTTGTTAATGTGTCTAGGTGGTCATGTTCTAGAATTTACATAATTCATGAATGTAAGTTATAGATGCATGAAAGTAAAATGTAGGTGAAATGCATCTAGTAATTAGGGGAGTTTGAAGAGGTATTCTTATACCTATAAATACCATATGTGAGTCATTTGTAAGTTGCAAGAGTGAAGAAGTCAAGAAGAAGAAGATTAATATAATAAAGTTTTTTTTTGTTTTTTTTTTCTTCTCCTCTACCATTTTCTAACAAATTGGTATCAAGAGCCATTTTTTGTTTGGAGATTGAGGCTTGAAAAATGTCGAACGGAACCCCATTTGTAGTTCCTTCACTTACGAAAGAAAATTATGATAATTGGTGCATACGTATGAGAGCTTTGCTTGGAGCCTATGAGTGTTGGGACTCCGTGGAAAAAGGAGTCGACGAAAGTGAAGCGGCCGGGAGGAAAAAAGACCAAAAGGCGCTCACACTTATCCATCAAAGTTTGGATGAGAAGATGTTCGAGAAGGTTGCTGCGGCGACCACCTCCAAGCAAGCATGGGAAATTCTTCAAGCTTCATTCAAAGGTGTAGACAAAGTGAAGAAGGTGCGTCTCCAAACATTAAGAGGTGAATTTGAGTCCCTCCACATGAAGGAGTCCGAATCCATTTCGGATTATATCTCAAGAGTCTTGGCCATTACCAACCAAATGAAGAGGTATGGAGAAGATGTGAAAGATGATCGAGTTGTGGGAAAAATTCTTAGATCGTTGGATCCAAAATTCAACTACATCGTCGTTGTCATTGAAGAGTCGAAGGACCTAGACACCATGTCCGTTGATGAACTTGCGGGTTCACTACAAGCTCATGAAGAGAGATTGAAGACGCCAACACAAGAATCGGTGGAGAAAGCTTTGAAAGCAAAGCTATCAATCAAAGAGAAAGAGACTGACTCAGGACGAGGCCGTGGAGGTGCTCGTAGTCATGGCGGCGGACGCGGAAGAGGAAGACAAGGACATGATTATGCAAATAATAGGCATAATTACGACTCAACGAAAAACCAAGAAAGAGGTCGAGGTCGTGGACGTGGACGAGGTCGAGGCCCAAGAGGTGGAGGATATAGGCCGAATCAAAGGCATGACAAATCCAGCATCGAGTGTTTTAATTGTCATCGCTATGGCCATTACGCCTGGGAGTGTCAAAGTGACGTAGAGGAGAAAAGTACTCTCATGGAGAGTAACAACAATGAAGACGTGGATCCCACTTTGCTTCTCGCATGCAAAACAAATTCGGAAGACGAGGATAGCCGATGGTATCTTGACTCGGGAGCAAGTAGTCATATATGCGGGAGACGAAATTTATTCTCAGAACTTGATGAGTCCATTGGTGGTGACATAACTTTTGGAGATTCTTCAAAAGTACAAGTAAAAGGAAAAGGTACGATTTTGATTCGCTTGAAAGACGGGAGTCACCAGTTTATCTCAAATGTCTTTTATGTGTCGGAGATGAAAAGCAATATTTTGAGTTTGGGACAACTTTTGGAGAAAAATTATGACATTCATCTAAAAGATAGAAGTTTGACGATGAGAGATGAAGACGGAAGATTGCTCGTTAAAGTCCCGATGACGAAGAATCGAATGTTTTTTTTGAACATTCAAAGTGATGTCCCGATGTGCTTGAAGTCTTGTTTTAATGATTCATCTTGGCTATGGCATTTGAGGCTTGGACATTTGAATTTTGATGGTCTCCAAATGATGTGCAAAAAGAGAATGGTGAAGGGGTTGCCTTCAATAAATCATCCGAACCAACTT